AGTAGCTCTGTGTTGAGTAAGACGGGCCTTTTAATATGGAAGCTGTTGGGGGGAAATGAAACATCAGGTTGCTTTCCTTCTGCTAGGCTGGGAGTATTTTTAGCTTTTGCCTTATTAAGTGTTGGCAGAAGCCTGGCAGTGTCATCAAATACCAATAGTGGCTGTTACTTATTGAGCATTTGCTCTATCAGGTCCTTGGCTCAGTGCTTTACATGCAGGACCACCTTAGGTCCCGAGGTTACGCTTGTTCTGTAGATGAGGAACCTTCGGCTCAGAAAGGCAAAAAGTGTGTCCAAGTATGTGGCTGAGCTCAGGTTAAAACACAGACTGCCCGACTCCAAAGCCTGCGTGCGCCTGCCATGCCCATGACCCACTCAGCTCTCCTCTCGTTTTTATCTTTACGTTAGTCAGCAAATTCTAGATAAGTGAAAATCTGAAATCCTTGTGTTTAAAAAGGTTCTTCCTAATGTCCACACTTCTGCTCTCCGGTTGTCCTTTTATGCATTTGAGAGAGCGGGTATGGGTTAGGTGAGTGGGGTTGGAAAGATGGAGTCCTTGCCAGCTTTGCCAGCTCTGTGCCCGGGATGCTGTAGGAGACGAGGAACTGACAGTGTGGCGTTTATCAAGATGGGCACTGCCACAGAGTGTTGTCCACCGTGACCCTGACCCCCATCCAGGGTGAAATTGAGCCCCGACAGAAACCACTGCTAAGTTGGGATCCCAGCTGCTGCCACAAGTGACATTTGAAAGGCCAGTTGATTGCACATTTGTCAGCCGCGGGCAGGGATGGTTGTTAAGCCTGGCCCAGGGGCAAGCTGAAATGTGCGCACGAAACGCTGACACCTGGCAGGCTACTTGGGGCGGACTTGGTTGGCTTTGGTGTGGTTTTGGTTGAGACCCGACTCTGTGAGCTAATGCCTCCCCTCCAGCTATTCTCCTTCTCTCTGGTAGAGGACATGCATCTGAAGGCCTGGGATGGTTGCCCCAGGAAATGCCTGTTCTCACGGCCATTTCTACACAAATTGTGAAGCCACACTCTCTGGAAGAAATGAGCAGCAGATGGGTTAGTCATTGGGAGCTCACGACCTTCGGCGGTGTAAATGCCACTGCGCGAGTCTGGCTTCGTTTTCTTAAGTTCTGTCAGTGACCTTTGAAGTCGCGCTCACAGATCTGATAGGTCACAATGAGACACCGGCTGGTGGCATTTCCCTGTGAAGGGGCTTCCGTTTCCTTTGGTTAGCACGGCCGTATGGAAGTGTGCGAGTCTGGCAGTCCCGCGTGTTGGTGGGTGTGGAGCCACTGGCACCTTGCTAGTGGGACCACAGAGTGGACACCCAAGTGGAGAATCCATAAAGTTAAATGCAGATTGTGCTCTATCATCCAGCAATTCTGGTCAGAGAAAACTTACACATGTTCCGATGGCATGTGAGGGTGTTCAGGGTAGCGCTGTTTAGAAAGTTGGAAACAATTGCCCGCTGGCAGGAGAGCGGATAAGTAAAGCTGGTCTTATGGGACACAGGGCACCACAGCACCAAGAATGAAAGCATACCTCTGCTTCCGCAGGGCAATTGTCAGGCCTACTGGAGAGTGAAACACGGAGCATAAGAATATTTACTGTCTGCTACCATGCATGCGAAGCTCACAGACTTACACACTAAGCTGTACTTAGAGATAAACTGTCACAAAAAGGAAGGGATAAGCACAAAATTCAGAATCCTGGGGACCTGTTGTTGGGTTTATTGGGATGCAACCCAATCCTAAGTCAAGGAGCATCTGCATATTTAGTATGAAATCTTCCAAAATTTTGTTTTGATTTCAGTGCTAAAAAATCTCCAAAGACACATACACAGAATCTGCAGTGTAACTTCCTAAGGGAATAGTCAGAGGATAATATGAGAGTGGTTGGGGAGGCTTACCTGGCACACTGCCGTAGTGTCAGCATCTGCCCCAGAGGACTGATGACTGATGTGCGTGGGGACGTGAGAAGAGGGGCGGGCAGTGTGTGTGTGTGTTTGTGTGTGTGTGTGTGTGTATGTTGCTGTGTGTGCAAGATAACCCTGAGAGAGCTGCCCCCTGTTGCTTTCTTCCACCTGCTGTCACTGGTCATTGTGCTTTATCATTCTCAGAGGCACAGCTTGGATGACCTTGCAAGGTCACCTGTAACCTGTGTTGCTAACCCATTATTCCAAGGAAAAGGTGACAAGCAACCTCCAAGTTAGAATCTGCCCTGGTTTGTGCTGTCCTTGATTCCAGAGCTGAGGAGGTTGGTGTCATTACAGAGAACCTGTTTTCTCCACTTGCGGTGTCATGTCATGTGCGACAGCTGGCTGTTGGGAGGCTGTCACGTACTCGGAGGATCCAGCACTTTATTTAAATGCTGATGTTGAGTCCCAGCTGTGCCCAAGACAGAACTTGGGGCTGTAGCTGGCAGGGCAGAGGGAGTGCTGTGCCTGGCTTCAGTTTGCTCTCGGGGGGAGATGCCCTTAGTTGGTCCTCGGTGGTGATCAGGACCAGCCCTGCAGGTGCAGGAGGAACCTGAGAGGTATTTGGGGGCCTCCACACCTTGCTTGCCTATTCTGGTTTGCTCGTGGTTGTGATGGCACAGATGTAAATCTGGCCAGCACCTCAGCCCCATGCCTGCCCATATAGCAATGCGGGGTAGCAGGCTGGAGGAGTTGGGAGTTGGCTCACCCAGCCCATGTCTCTGAAGACCTTTGACCACCAAAGCAAACCGAAGAAATCATGCATCCTGCCTAGACTTCCCCATTTGTGTGTGTGTTTTTTGCCCTGCTTTCAGTCTTACTTGCCAGGGAGGAAGTCACAGGTTAGTACATTGCTCTAACCTCCCATCTGACTTGGAACCTACCTGGAGATGTGCTGTGACTTTAGGCTGCTGAGACCAGCATCAGGGGGAGTGCAACGGGCGCAGCACAGGAGGAGGCACAGGGTGGGAGACAGATGAACAGGTGAGGGCCGATGAGACCTCTGGTCAGTGCTGGAGGAAGAGGACGGCATTTGTAAGGCCCTCCATTCCTCGGGCCGTGCGTTAAGTGTGCAGGGCAGTAGCATAGCCTGATGCAACTTCTGCAGGCAGTTGGTAAAATCAGCGCTCAGAGCTCCATCAGCCTTGCTGCTCACCCAAACCATGTGGTTAGGTTAGCTCCCTGCACTGAGCAGGTGCCTGGCCGTGTCTACTGGCAGCCTCTCATTTAATCTGCATCACATTAGCCATCTCAAGAACAGTGTTATCAGTGCCATTTTCCAGACAAGGAAACTTCAGACTTAGAGAAGTGACTTTGGACTATTTTAACCCAAACAGTGTGCCTACAAAGCTCACTCTTTTAACTAGCACATGGATGATTAGATCAGTCACCTCATTTTAAAGTGTAAAGAAGGAAGTATAAACTGTATAGAGGCCCCACCCAGCTTGGGTGGGGAAGAACAGGGCAGAGGGGAGCTGGAGAAATTACACCACCTCAGTTTACCTACTTTGAATCCCTATGTTTTCTTCTAAGAGTTTATAGTTTTAACTCTTAATTTAGGTCTTTAGTCCATTTTGAGTTCACTTTTGTGTATGGTGTGAGGTAAGGGCCCAAATTCATTCTTTTGTATGTGAATATCCAGTTGTCCTAGCACCATTTGTTGAAAGAATACTAATTCCCTCATTGTATGGTGTTCACATCCTTATCAAAAATCTATTGGCCATAGACACATGGGATTATTTCTGTATTCTCAATTCTTTCTGTTGTTCTACATGCCTCTGCTTATGCCAGTACCATGCTGTCTTGATTTCTCTAACTTCGTAGTAGTAAGTCTTAAAATCAGGAAGTGTGAATCGTCTAACTTTATTCTTCTTTTTCCAGATTGTTTTGGCTATTCTGAGACCCTTGTATTTCCATATTAATATTAGGATTAGATTGTTAATTTCTGCCCCCCACCTACCCACCCACCCCCAAATAGCCAGCTGGGTTTCTAATAAGGATTACATTGAATCTGTAGATCAATTTGCGGCATTTGGCATTTTAACAATATTAAGTCTTTTGGTTTATGAACATGGGCTGTCTTTCTTTTTATTTAGATTGTCTCTAATGTCTTTCAACAATGTTTAGTAGTTTTCAGTGTATAAGTCTTGTATTTCTTACGTTAAATTTATGCCTAAGTATTTTATTCTTTTTGATGATATTGTAAATGGAAGCTTTTTAAAATTTCATTTTGGAATATTCATTGCTACTCTATAAAAATGAATTTGATTTTTGTATATTAATCTTATGTCTCGTGACCTTACTGAATTTATGTCTTAGTACTAATAATTTTTTAGTGGCTTGCTTGGGATCTTCCACATACAAGATCGCGTCATCTACAAATAGAGATAGTCTTATATCTTCCTTCCCAATCTGGATGGCTTTTACTGGAATACTGGAGTACAACATCCAATAGGAGTGAGAGGGACGGACACCCCAGTCTTGTTCCTGATCTCAGGAGAAACCACCCAGGCTTTCACTCTGTCCCAGAGGGTTTTGAACACCTTTCTTCTATTTCAGCCTCACTGCCAACTCAGAGGCCTTGCCCCTATCACTTGTTGCCGCTCCTGAACCAAAAGATGAGGGAAGAGGTTGATTCAAAAGAGCCTTTCTCTCTAGTTCATGCATCCTATACTTTTGTGAGTCTGCTTTGGTGTTCATTCTCCTTGGCCAGCTTGCTCGAACTTTGGTTAGATCATCATACAGACTCCATAAGGACAGTTGGGAATATTTGCCAATTCTTTTTCCCTACTTATTTCGACTGACTTTGACTTCCACAAATCTAAACAACCTACCCTAGAGACGGAAAATGCAGATATTGAAACGTGTTATCAGAATTGTTTTAAGGAGTCCCTGTTCCTCTCCGTTGTAGCTCTGAACAGCTGGGGGAAAGATTCGCGTTGAAACGATGCTCATGTCCACGAAAGGTGCGTGAAGTTCCCCCCTGCCTCTAACAGTCGGCACCCTCTTTGTTTCCAGACTCCCAGCGTTCTCATCTCTCCTCCTTCACCATGAAGCTGATGGACAAATTCCACTCGCCCAAAATCAAGAGAACGCCATCCAAGAAGGGAAAACCGGCCGACGTGTCTGTGAAGACTCTGGAGAAGCCTGTGAGCAAAGTAAGCTGCCTCTGGCACCGCTCTGCTTCGGAGTGAGGGTGTGTGCTTGCTGCACACCGTTCCCTGGGGGCTGAGCTCTAGCACAGACACCTGCTCCCCAGGATTCCACGTTGCAGAGGGGCCTCCCGCGCTCTTGTGACGTGGGAGCCTGTAGGGTGTGAGTGTTTCTCATGTTAATCAGAGTCGAGCTCAGTGGCTAGAACAGTTCTCCTTTTCCAGATGTGCCATCTCTGGGCACTTAACACAGCTCAAGGCATCATGTTCACATTCAAGGTGCTGCCTCCCTGCCCTAGAGAGCCCCATACTGCCCGGGCGTGGGCACACACTCGGGGACGTTTGTGATGTCCAGAACGTCCTTGCTCTGAGACATGCAAAATCCTTGACACCAGAGGTGTCCTCAAGCACTAGTCACCTCAGCAGGGCCAGTTAAGCAGATGTGTTGACATAGCTGTTGATTTCATCAACCCCTTCTTCAGCCTAAAACGGCCATTTCAAGCTCTGTAGGAATCCAGGTTTCCTCTCTTCCAGGAGGCAACAGACAGATTTCTACCAGAGGGCTACCCTCTCCCCTTGGATCTGGAGCAGCAGGCAGTAGAATTTATGTCCACCAGTGCTGTGGCTTCCAGGTCTCAAAGGCAGAAGGTCAGTGTGATGTTAAGAACATTGGGTTTGCCTTGCCTTCTACTGCAGAATCCTGGCCCATGGTTTTGGGGATGGAAAAACATCTATTACAGTATCTCTGTGTTCAATTGGGTGGCAACTGTGGGCTTAATTGTTCAGAAAATAGTCCAAGGGACTTTGGGTAAAAGTAAGTTTACCCAGATCCCCCTGGTCTTTGGAGAGAGTGCAGTCTTCCATGGTGACAGCTCGGGGATCCTCTCTGGGGCTGGTTTGGGTGTGCTGCTTGGGCCCCGCAGGTTCTGGAGGAAGTGAGTGATCTCACCTGTCGAGCTCAGCTGTTCTTTCCTTGAGCTGCTAAGATGCTCTGAATCGCAAAGGAAAGGAAGGGCGTCTAAAGTGTCTGGTGCCGTCAGACTGGTGCGGCAGCCACAGACCCAAGTGCTCTGAGAGCCAGGCTGCTTTGGGCCACGGACATTTATCAGCCTTTCCTTAGCCCCATGCAGAGTGCTTCACACTCGTTCTCTTGCTTAACCCTCAGAACAACCCTGGGAGGTGGAGGCTTACTTTGCAGAAAAGGAAACTGAGGCTGTAGAGATATTAAATGTTTGGCGAAAGGCGCACAGAGAGGATGGTGAAGCTGAGATTTGAACAAGGTTGTCTGACATCTGAGTCAAAACTGTCGAGGTGCCACCTTTCCTGTTTATGGAAGCCAGAGTTTATTTTTCAATATCTCCCAAACGTAAATGTTAACCCCACACATAACTAAACATAAAAACAAAATCAAGCCCTAACCGGTTTGGCTCAGTGGGTAGAGCGTCGGCCTGCGGACTCAAGGGTCCCAGGTTCGATTCTGGTCAAGGGCATGTACCTTAGTTGCGGGCATATCCCCAGTAGGGGATGTGCAGGAGGCAGCTGATCGATGTTTCTCTCTCATTGATGTTTCTAACTCTCTATCCCTCTCCCTTCCTCTCTGTAAAAAATCAATAAAATATATTTAAAAAACAAAAACAAAAACAAAACAAAATCAAATTTAGCAATATGAACTAAAAACAAGGCTTGTGGACAAATACTAGTAGGTCCTTAATCCTCTGTGATTGCCCAGAGCCCACAGCCATCATCAATTCAGCGCCACTGGCAAAGCCCTGCCCTGCTATGTAAACACATCATTCTTGAATTTGCCAGCGCATCTATTTTTGTTTTTATGTTCAGCAAAATACCTTAAAATCCTAGTTAAAAGTGGAGGAAATAAAGGTCTTAAATCTAAGTCTTTTGTTGAAGAATCCTTTTTTTCCTGCCCCATCTGTTAACAACAGGAGGCTGAAGAGTAAGCGTAAAATGTTGAGTGTTTGCCAGATTGATCCAAATTCCAGATTGAAGAAGAGTAATAAAGTAGATTTGGTCTGCACCACAATTATTTTTTATGACGCTCTGTGTAGCAGTCTCTTGGAGCTGAATTTCTTCCTGAAGTCCAGGCAGTGTGTCCGTGTCGTCTAACACTGGTCCAGGCAGCACAGGGTAAAATGATTTACTCACAACTGTGTTCTCCCAGTGGGCTCGGATAAGAGACTGCTTCAGTCACTCAGTTCTTGGAATTCCCTCCCCTTTCTTCCTTATTCCAGGAGAGGTCATGGGGCGGTGTGGGGGCGAGAGAGATTGCATGCTAAAGTGCCCTTTACTTAGCGGAGCTTCCTGTAAACTCCAGGGCACATTGGGCAATGTTTGGAGACGTGTTTGGTTGTCACAACTAGGAAGGCGAAGCAGGAGCTACAGGATCTGGTGGGAAGAGGCCTGGGATGCTGATAAACATCCCACAATGCATAGCACAGCCCCCAACTCCCAGACAAAGAATCATCCACCCCAGAATGCCAGTGGAGCGCAGCTGAAAAACCCTGTTCTGTAGCAGGGAGCTGCAGTGTGATCTTTACCGAAGGAAGAATGTTGCTCAGCTTTTGATCGCCGCCCTTTAAGAAGGGCTGAGTTACTACTGTGCTCTGCCCCAAGTCACCTGCATGAGACAGAGTGAGTACGACTGTGTTGTGTAAGACAGGACTGGACGTATTGGGAAGCTGCCAGAGTGTGTGAACTTGGAAGACTGTCAGAGAAATCTTACAATAAGTCTGTCATTTATTACATTAATTATTTATTACTTATTAGCTCTCAGTACTTAGGGAATATTTCCATATACATTGCCTTGTTATTGCAGTTTATATACATGGCTTTCCTGTTTAAATACATGGGAAGTTGCAGCTCGGGGTCGATGCATACACTCAGATTCATCTGCACCTGCTGGACGGCCTCTGTCCTGGGTGATTTAACATGCTGTCTTATTTACTCCTCACCATAACCACGTGCAAACGCTTTTATTATTCCTAATATACAGAGAGTTGGGAGTCTGGCCCAAGTTTTCCCCCATCAAATCTGTTTTCCCCTTAAATGTTACGAAATCTTTCCATATGCATCCTCATTCGGACCCCACACCAACCTCTTGATCCCCTGGGCAGGAATTCCTCTCCCTTGTGCGGATGAGGAGCCTGGAGCCCACTGGTCCCAAGCCCAGTGGTGGCTTCGGATGCCCTCCGCAGCACCGCTGCCCTCCTGTAGTTGCCGGGTTTGTTGGGCGATGGTGGTACCCTTCCCCCATGGCAGGCACCGCAGGAGGATGCGTCTGCCCACGGAGGTTCTGGGCTGGGAGCTCCAGCAAAGCCACGCCTCAGGGTCCTGCTTGTAGGGAGTGCTCGCCTAGAGCCCATTGGAACTCCCTGACTGACTGCTTTTTGCAAGAAGCCGGTTGACAGCTGCAGGGCGAGGGGAATGCAGTGCTCAGAGGCCTTTAATCTGGGAGTGGAATTTGCCGGGGAGTTAATGGAGGAAACCTGATTCTGCTAAGTTGTCACTCCTTCATTAGGAGCCCAGGGTGCCCGGCTCTTTGCGAGCTCATTTGATCTTCCCACAAAGGACAGGAAAGTTCTTTTGCTCTGAAGCGCCTGGCCCCTTTTGGATGGCTCCTGGCTGCAGGTCAGCCCCATGCTCCCCAGCAAACCTCTTTTTTTTTTTTTTTTAAATATATTTTATTGATTTTTTACAGAGAGGAAGGGAGAGAGAGAGTTAGAAACATCGATGAGAGAGAAACATTGATCAGCTGCCTCCTGCACACCCCCCACTGGGGATGTGCCCGCAACCCAGGTACATGCCCTTGACCGGAATCGAACCTGGGACCTTTCAGTCCGCAGGCCGACGCTCTATCCACTGAGCCAAACCGGTCTCGGCCCCAGCAAACCTCTTGAAGTGTCTCCTGCTTCCTCCCCACATTTCATTGTGGCGGGCTCCTCCCACGTCCTGATCTGAGATGGCCGGGCTGTGGTCACAGTCCTCTAGCGAGGCTGGCCAGCCATGATTCCAGGCACATTTGGTGTCCCCAGGCACCTTGATTCCTTCACACTCGGGTTCCTGAGGCCCCGGTGGGGGCGGTGAAGCAGGCAGCTCTTGTCCTGAGGTAGGGAAGCAAGTGCCCGGCCTCTGGGAAGAGGCAGTAAATAAACAGGTATGTTGGAGTGAAAAGAGAGGCTTGGCCCTGGCCGGTTTGGCTCAGTGGATAGAGCATCAGCCTGCGGACTGAAGGGTCCCAGGTTCGATTCCAGTCAAGGGCATGTACCTTGGTTGCGGGCACATCCCCAGTAGGGGGTGTGCAGGAGGCAGCTGATCGATGTTTCTCTCTCATCAATGTTTCTCTCTAATCGATGTTTCTAACTCTCTACCCCTCTCCCTTCCTCTCTAAAAAAATCAATGAAATATTTTTTTTTTAAAAAAAGAAAAGAGAGGCTTGGAGAAAGGGCAGAGAGGCTCGATGGAGGGACTCGGGGTGCTCCCTCTCCCCATGGAGAATTCTGTCTTTGTGTCCACAGAACGCCTTGGGAAGTACCCATTGAGAGAAATTAAATCGGACCTTTGACAGTCGTCTGACTAAAGGCACTATTAACTTCTTGATCCCATTTATATGTTTTTCTGTTGATATTCCCACTAAATAAGTGCCTCCACTATTGAATTTTTTATTTGAAATGACGTTCTCCATCATTTTAGAGGAAAAGAGGCAGTCAGAGTCATCACTTTTTAGTATATATTATTTAATTATCTGTTTACAGATTATTGTTGAAATCAGCTTTTTCTAGAAATTACCCTCTTGCCCACGGTTGCTTTCTTTGTCTTCCCCGGACCTCAGAGAGGCCACAGGCGGTGTCTCCTCATACAGGCCACTCTCCATTCGCGTTGACGTGTCATCAGTTCTACTTGAGTAGATTGTCTGTTTGGGGATTTGTCTGTTTCATAGGTTAGCCTTGATTTCCCTTCCCCTGCCAGGCGGCTGGGCCCTGGATCACTGACGTTGGGGCCGGTCTAGAGAAAGGAATCACCAGGGTGTGCCACCCGCTGCGTGGACCGCAGGCACCGCAGGCCAGGGGATGATTGCGTGGGACTCTGACTCCGGGAGGCGCAGGGCTCTGTTTTCTCGTCCTCTGAGGTGGGCTTTCCTCAGGAGCAGGGCAGCGGGACCAGGAGTGCCAGCCGCACTTGCTGCTCGAGCAGTGATGGGGTCGTGTCTGTCTGCTCCGCTTTTACACATTTTCACCCCGAGCTCCACCCCTTCTAACCCTGGGTCTCCAGGTCCTTCGGCTGCTTCTTTGAGAGGGAGCTGCGTCTCTGGGTTGAATGTAGGAATCTTGTGAGGAGTTCTGGGAGAATGGGTGTGAACACAATGCCTCCAACCAGTCTCACACAGCCCCCGGGATCCTTGAAAGGCCTGGGTGTCGTGATTAGATTTACTGGATAGATAAGCGCCCTGGGACTTGGCTGTCAGTTCTCTCCCATTCTTACAGCAGCAGTTGAGTCCTCGCTGCACTTCACGAGATCAGGGTGGCGGAGGAGGCCTCCGGCCAGCAGTCTCTTCCGGGAAGGGAATTCAGGAGTCTCTGCACAGCGCTTCTTGGTCCAATCCCCCTTTTCTTCCTTCAAGTCTAGCCTCTGTGTCCTGATTGCGGTCCTTAGAACGCTAATGTGGCTTGGCTGCTGCAGCAAGAAGCCTTTTGCCATTTGCATCAATCTCAAAATAGTTGACAGGAAATTTTATTTTATTTTTTATAAAATAGCTCCCTTTAATGTCTCTCCTCCTTCCTTCTGCTTAACATTTCCTTTCAGAACCTGAGCAGGCTGGAGGAGAAAGAGAAGGAGGTGGTCAGTGCCTTGCGCTACTTTAAGACCATTGTGGACAAAATGGCCATTGACAAGAAGGTGCTGGAGATGCTCCCCGGGTCGGCCAGCAAGGTGCTGGAGGCCATCCTACCGCTGGTGCAGAGCGAACCTTGCATCCAGCACAGGTGAGTCGCTCTGAAGCCCTTGGCTGTGCCCGAGCAGTGGAGGCCTCGAGGCATCTTGATTTGGGGAGCTTCACACTAAGGCTTCTCGGCAGGGGAAAGGCGCCCTCTCCCCGCCCCTCGGCTATGGCTCGTTGTTCCTCAGGAGACCGCACAGGGAGGAAGAGCTCTGCCATCGCTAGGGACAGCCCGTGCAGCCTGGGTCATTTTTGTATTAGTTCATTGGCAATAATCACAGGGATTTGGACCCTTCTCTCCTGCACCCTAGGGTAACGTAGTGTATTATGACATTAAGTCCTGTCAGCATCCAGCCTGTTAGAGCCTCAGCTGCTCAGATGGTGACACAAAAGGTAGAGAAGAGCCCCTTAGAGCACAGCTTGGTGAGACACTTAACCGAGTCAAGCTAGGATCTCGCAGATGGCACGCCGTCCCTGGGAGCGGTGAGGGTGGAGGCAGCTGGCCCAGCAGCTTCTGTGGGCGATGCTTTCGCTGCTGGAGTGCACTTTCCTCTGGGAGGTTAGCCAGCAGCCTGACGCGTATTTGCCGTTGAGCAGGGAGAGAAAAGCCGCATTAAATGTATGGTAAGTGAAAGGCCAGCAGGGGCTGTTCCTTGAAAGGCGGGGGCTGCCTGCCGGCTGGCTTTTCTCCCTGGTACCTGCTCAGAGGCACGTCTCGGTCTCAGTCCTCCCGACACGGTGTGGGTGGGGCCCCGAGACTGTGCTCTCAGGAGCTGCTCCCAGAACCTGGCCAGCAAGTGCAGTTTTCTTTTCTGGGAGGCACAGCAAACACTGTCTTTATTTCCCAGACTAGTGGCTCAGTGCACGAAATTCGTGCACATTAAAAGGGAATTAATTGCCTTAACCGGTTTGGCCCAGTGGATAGAGCATTGACCTGCGGACTCAAGGGTCCCAGGTTCGATTCCGGTCAAGGGCATGTACCTTGGTTGCGGGCACATCCCCAGTGGGGAGTGTGCAGGAGGCAGCTGATCGATGTTTCTAACTCTCTATCCCTCTCCCTTCCTCTCTGTAAAAAAATCAATAAAATATATATTTTTTAAAAAGGAAATTAATTAGTGGAGATATTTTAATATTGCTATTTGCCCTTTCTCTATAATAGAAGTGTGAGAGATGAAAGGAAATTAGTAAAATGTATATGAAAATAATATATAAATTTATTAATAAATAAACAGTAACAAAAGGATATAACAACAACAGAGGCATGATATAAAAACGACAAAAACATGATATGAAAACAACAAAAACATGATATAAAAACAACAGTGATGCAAACAATGACTGATAAAGTGATTAAACTTATTCTAATATCTCCGAAAACACTTTCAGAGTGCTTGACTAATTTCCCTTGTGATGAAGTATTTCCCTTGTGATGAAGTATTTAGAACTTTAACTATAATGTCACATGCTCTTCATAACTGACCATGTGCAAAAACGGGTTCAGGTAGGAATATGCCTACTTTGTCTAGAGTTTGTCCTTGTGATTTATCAATAGTCATCACAAATGCTGGCATCGAATCAATTTAAATGGGAGGCCAGTGTCAGATGGGGACAAGTTAATTCTTGGAATCAGAACAGCCTCTCCCTCTGCAGATCCTGTTAATACTTCAGCTTCGATAATGTTAGATCGTAATCTTTTGATAATAAATCTGGTACCATTACAAAGACCCCATTTACTATTGAGATTTCTCAATAGCATGATGATTGCACCCACCTTCAATTTTAATTTATGACATGGCATTCCCGAAGGAGTAATACTATTAAATTTGATGGGAAAATTTTCCTTTTCAGCATCATCTGTGGAATCAATGGAATCATCACTCAAATATGTGTGAAAATCTCCGAGTATATCCAAAATTTCTTCATTTAATTTTTGAACATGCTCATTTTTTGGACAAAGAATTGCATGTTTAGATATATCTTTAATATTATCTGTAGCAGTGGTTCTCAACCTTGGCTGCACATTAGAATCACCTGGGAATCTTTTTAAAATCCTGATTCCTGGGCCTCATCCTCCGGAAATTGTTTCTTTGTTATGGGGTGGGGCCACAACATTAGTAACAAAGGAACAGAATTAAAACTATTGTTGGGAGCCGCTACAGTGTTTGGACAGGTTCAAGCCTTGGACTGATGAGAGGTCACGGTCCTCTCATTGCCACGTGCAAGTCCCAGGTTGGAGGGCAGGGCCCTCCCAGCACAATTATAGCCAACAGCTGTAGTTGTAAGCTTGAACCTATGGTCCGAACACATGACCCCACGTGCCTGAGTGATGTAGGCTTGATAGAGTGCATGTAGTTGAGTAGGATTGAAATGCAGGAGAATGTTGTAAACATCTTGGTCATGCCCTTACTTTGCCTCATAGCATCTGCTATAAAGGCATGGCTGTGGGCGTGGTCACTGTATCTCAGAGAAGCAGTGTCCCACCAAGACCCGGCTTTCATTCTCTTGTCTGTTTTTTCTAAGCCTTTCAGCCGCCCCCATTCAGGTTCACCCCTGGCCCTGCTGGCGCGGCACACTTTATAAAGATATGCCTCCATGCTCTCAGGGCGGGTTCCTACCTCAAACCCCGCCCTTACAGGAAACAGCTCCGGGAAACAGCTCGGGGGAGGGCACAGCCATTGCCAAGACAACCCCTGAAGGACTGACTTCCTTCCACTTGGTCGAGGTTCTGGTCGTGATGAACACCACCGAGGGTTTTTATATAAGTAGAAGCCCTCTGCCCTGGGCCTCCCCCGGAGTGTCCACTGGCACTGTGGTCGCGGTCTTTTGGCTGGAAGCTCACTGAAGCTGGCTGGTGGGGAGGAAAAATGTTCATATGGCTTTGCCCTGTCACTGTCCTCACTTCCTATGCCTCACACCCACAATTCTCAGGGAAAGTTATCTTTACTTTTATAAAAAATATGTGGGAGATGTAGAAATTCTTTATTTTGGCCTCGACTGTACAGTCGTTGAGGCAGCCAACGACTCAGGGCTTCTGTGGAGGGGGACCTCACAGTGTCCCCTGCAGGTCTCCTCACCTCAGATTTGTCTTTTTTTTTAAAAAAAAAATATATGTTTTTAATTGATTTTTAGAGAGGAAGGGAGAGGGAGAGAGATAGAAACATCAATGATGAAAGGGAATCGTCTATTGGCTGCCTCCTGCACACCCCTCACTGGGGACCGAGCCTGCAACCCAGGCATGTGCCCTGACCGGAATTGAACCGTGACCTCCTGGTTCATAGGTCAACGCTCGACCACTGAGCCACGTTGGCCGGGCAGATTTGTCTTTTTTGAAATACTCTTCACTAATGCGTTCCTCTGCGTCGCAGCCATGTGGTAGTGCAGGGGAATTCTAGTCAATTACAGATCTGTTTGGACTTCATGTTTAAAGGCTGTTTCTTTAAAGGATCCTGCCTGTTCAAATTCCACAAGCCTGTGTGCTCCTTGCAACACCCCTGTCTTGAAATTAAGTCTAATTCCAAACAGGACACAAGACGTCAAGACAGAGTGTGGCGCTTTGACCCCGTTGGTGATTAGCAGCTCGGAGGGGGGGCGGGGGGGGGCACTCCCTGAGGGCATTGTCAGAATCTCATGGAGGATGTAAAGTTTGAAACAGCTTATTAATGATCGCGATGGAATCTTTATGTGTTATATTTGGGAAGTGAAAAATACATATAACAGACTAGAATATAACACTCCCCAGGTTTTCATTGGCTGAAGGAGATGGGTTCAGGGAGGAAAAGTTTGTTTATCAAGGGAGGTGTGGGTTGTACACGGACAACCAGGCTCTGGGCTAAGTGGCTATCTTACAGTGACCTCATGCTTTAGATTTTTCCGATTTTTAAAAAATCTTCTCTGCCTTCTAGCTCGGCCCTCTCGTCCTGCTATAACCGAGTGTACCAAAGCCTCGCCAACCTCATTCGCTGGTCGGACAAAGTGATGCTAGAAGGTGTGAACTCAGAAGATAAAGAGATGGTGACAACGGTGAAGGGGGTCATCAAGGCTGTGCTGGACGGAGTGAAGGTATGGTCGGTGCCAGGCAGTCCTGGTCAGGGACCTGGAGCAGCCTCCTTGCTGGGTGTTCATCACAGAAGAACTTGTCCCTAAAACCTAGTGAATTAGAGTGAACGTCTGCCAGCGTCTCTGGTGTCGGTGTGCTCTGCTGGTAGCTGTGTCATTCTCTGTGGTATGAAGGGCTCGTCCACCCTTGGGAGAACTCATCTCCCTCGTCGGAAGAGCTGCCAGAGCAGGCGGCCTTCACCGAGCGTTGCATTAAGTCTTCAGCGAGGCCTTGTGTGAAAGCTCTGGCTGTGCGTGCTGGCCAGCCGGACAAAATGCAGTGGAAATGGTTTTGCGCTGACTTTTAGCAAGACGCCCAGCATGTCAGCCGCTTCCTTTTCATGTCCTAAACCAGGGGTGGGCAAACTTTTTGACTCGAGGGCCACAATGGGTTCTTAAACTGGACCGGAGGGCCGGAACAAAAGCATGGATGAAGTGTTTGTGTGAACTAATATAAATTCTAAATTCAAAGTAAACATCATTACATAAAAGGGTACGGTCTTTTTTTTTTTTTTTAGTTTTATTCATTTCAAACGGGCCGGATCCGGCCCGCAGGCCGTAGTTTGCCCACGGCTGTCCTAAACACTCCTGGATCCCTTGTAGAGAAGCAGGATGGAGATGCATAGGAAAGGAAGTTGTCTGTGTTTGAAGTCCATGATGTGGTCTGAGAACCTACTTCCCAGGGGAGTCAGAAACAGCATCATGGGATATTCTGGATCCTAGTTAAGGTGGGAGCGAAGGCCACGGGTCTGGGATTATTGAGAAAATGCCTCCTAGGATGAGGAGCAAGGCAGAATGTAGGGGAGGGCCTGGAGGTGAGGACTAGGCTGTGAGCAGTGGGAGTGGAGGCCCTGCTGTTAGGTGAGACCATCGAATGTAGTGGGCCGGGGGAGTAGCCTGGGATCTGGCTAGGTTTGGAGTCCAGGTTCACCACTTCATGTAGTCAAATCTGTCAATATTTTCCTCTATAGTTTCCCATTTTCCCCAGTCTAATATTACAAAAGTGCCTTTATCCTTCTATAGTTTTAGGACTTTAAAAATGCTTAGATCTTTATCTATGACATGAGGTAAGGATCCAGCTTTATTTTTTGGATGAATAACCCATTTTCCACCTTTATTATTTTTTTTAATATATTTTATTGATATTTTACAGAGAGGAAGGGAGAGAAATAGAGAGTTGGAAACATCGATGAGAAACATCGATCAGCTGTAGTGTGTGAACGTGAGCAGTTGACTCGAGTGCTCTGTACCTTAGTTAACTCCCCTATAAATTAGGTATGATAACGGTACCATGTGTCACAGTGCGGTAAGAAGGGTTAAATTAGTTAATGCAAGCAAAGCTCTTGGAGCATTACTTGTCACATATCAAACCTTAGCTGCTGTTGATTATTAATTATGTGGTGTGAGACAGATGCCTAAACAGATCTCTTGGCTTGAAAAAAAAGTGTGTCCTCCTTCTTTCTAGACCTTTCCATCCAAAATTATAGCTGAGGTACTTACGCTAGGTCAAAATTAATTTCTCCCCACTCAGCCATGCTGTCAGATTCCTGAAAGCTGCTCTTGGTTAACGTTCCCCAGAAGCTCTGGAGAGTAGAGTCAGGACCCCCACGGGTAAACATTTCAGAGGGGAGGTTAAGACACCGTTGCTTAGCATCACCAACTGCTCCAGCGTGAGCTGCGGTGGCTGGGAAGGCAGTGCTGCCCACCTCTAGCCCGTGCAGGGCCCTGTGTCTGCTGGGACCTTGTGGAGTTTATTTAGAGGGCGTCCAGACTAGATGACATCAAAATTTCTCCAACAGCTCCCAGATTCCCTTCATTTCCAAAGTGATCAGGTCCTACGTTATCTGTTTGGCAGTGAGACTTAAGGGTGCAGCCCAGGGTGGCTGTTGTGTAAGAACTTACATCACATTCCACAATCAAGTTCAGTCACATACACCATCCCATTCGATCTTCCCAGCAGCTCTTTGCAGCCAGCAGGGCACAGTGAGAGCTGGCCTGGGTCACACTCCGTCAGCGGAGGCTGGGGTTCTGGCTCACACACCCCTGGTCTTCCTGTCCAGGCTTCTGGAAATGCTGTTGTTGGACATTGTTATTTTTCAGGTGACATTGTTAAGGTTTCCCTCTACCAAATTGGTTATGATGAGATGTTCAAAACAAGTGAGAACGTCCAAAATAGAGAGTTTCGTTGTGACTTTCCTAAGTAGACGCTCCTTTGTGGAATCATTACACCACCACTGTATGGGGTGATAGAAAAATTTCTCTGATTTCTCATATTGACCAGGATGAGAGGTAGGGAGGGGAACTATAGATTATGAACCTTTCAGTGTCTAAAAGCAAATAACTTTTCCACAATTGTTTTAAAATATTTTAACCAGAACAGATATTTTCTAGTTGAGGTGCTCTGTAAATTCAGTTTTGTTTCATTTATTCAAGAAACATTTATCAAGAGCTCCCTGTGTGCCAGGTAGTGTGATAGAGCTGGGAATATAGTGACAAGCAACACTCACCGTCCCTGACCTGGCAGAGCTTACAGTCTGAAGGGGGAAAGGACAGCACACAAGAACTTTAGTTCTGTCATTATAACCAGGACGGGTGCTGCAAAGAGGAAATGGCCTGTGTGAGCCCTGGGTGTACAGCTGAGCTTCCTTTCTCAGGATGGTCAGAGACACTTCCCCCAGGAGAGGCAGACAGACTAAAAGCCTGAAGCAGGAGCAGGAATTGGCCTGCATTGTGGGAAGCTTTTTGTAGTTAGAGTCAGTAAAGGCAGCAGGACCATCAAGACTCTATAATGTTGGCATTTGTTGCTGAGGTCTAATAGTAACAGAGCTAACACTTACTACCCACGCAGTGCTTATAACAACTCTCCAAAGTAGTCATAATCGCCCCTTCAAGGGTGTGGACAGTGAGACTCAGACCAGTCATCAGTGGCGAGGTCGAGATTCACACCCAAGGCCTGCTGGACCCCAGGCCCTGTGCACTCCCCATCGCCCTCAGCTGCCACCACAGGAAGGAGAAGCATGGTCAGCTGAGGGACTCACATGCTCCACCTCCAAGTCAGCTGGCTACCAGCCTCTCTCGAGGTCCCCTTCAGGCTTAGGACACCTTATAAGCCCATGTCCTAGTTATGTGACAGCCTCCGTGGGCTGAGAGAGGTACAGTACATTCGTGGGCATGCGGTCATCCCACAGAAAGGAGAGATGCTGGCAAGTTCCTCTAAACTGACTCACCATCTTTCATGTAACTCGTTCAGTTGTTAAATGGAATTTTTAAAAAAGGATTGAAGTGTTTTAACAAACAGGATTACTTTGTTTTGTCCCTGAATGGGGAGTATCATTTATTATTTAACTGCCCCATAAATGTGACTCGTTGGCCCTTTAACTTTGGGCAAGTTACTTCTCTGAGTTTCAAGTAGGTTTTTAAATATTTATCCTGAAGAGCTGATGAATGTTTAAGTAAGATCGTGCATATGAAGTACCTGGTAAGTGCTAGGTGCCCAGTAAACGGTGGGTAAGTACTAGTAACTGTAGAAATGTTCGTTTCTAGAACAGCTCCCATTTACCAACTTCACAAGGATTTGTGGCTCTTTCCCATGTAATTTCACAAATCTCAGGTTAAAAGATAAACCTCTGCTATTATCTGATCTGCCCCAGGCAGTGTTTTACCTGTGGCCGCCCAAGGCACAGAGACACAGTGACTCTCCCAGGAAGGAATGTGAAGGCCTTCACTTTCCTGTTCTCAGCGACCTGCCCAGCCTAGGGCTGGCTGTGTGGGCCAAGCTCCTCCAGGTCAAACACGTACCCCAGATTGTCCTTTCGAAACCTACACCCCAATTCCTCCTAACTTTACCATTTACATTTCAGCTTTTCTTCTCATCTCAGCCTGGGCTCTGCTCTGTCCTCCTCACAGACCTTCTAGGGGTCTCCTCTGCAGGCCTGAGACTTTCCCTGGCCTCCCCACTCCCCCTATTCACACAACGTTGTTATTTATTTTTAAAACCTCATACTGAGAACCTTGGGGGCGGGGGGCTTTGGAATACCTGCAGTTCTGTCACTACCCAAAATTGGGCTCGTGCACCAGATTTACTTTGTGTAACAGGAATATTTTGAAAGAAATGTTCTCCTGACTGTATCAGTTAGGATTAGGTTTGACTACAAGAAAATCTATTTTTTCTCTTTCATTATTTCTCTTTCATATATCAGAGGCCCAGAGACCGGCCGTTGTGGCTAATATGACAGTTTCACGTATGGTCAGGGCGTAGTCTTCTGCCATTGCTTTCTTGCCGTTCTTGCACATGGATTCTACCTCATGGTCCATAATGGCTGCTGCCCCTCCATTCATTAGGACCACATTCCACCCAGCAAGGAGAGAGGGAGCAGGAAGCTGTGCCTTCTCCATTTAAGAGTACTTTGTCACAGGCCTCACAAAACTGTCACTTAACATTTTACCTGACCTAGGCACATGCCCAGTAAAATTCTATTCATAAGGAAGAACAGATATTGTGGGGCACCTCGCTGTCTGCCACACTGGCATTTCAAATAAGCCATCTCCTTTTATTCCTCATTCAGCCTATTTTTTAAATTTTGGATGAAAATTTCAAACATTTGCCGAAAAAAGAGAATCATGTAATGAAGCCTCATCACATGGCTCCCACAGGTGTCCTCTGGCGGCCAGTCCTGTTTCTTCTGGGTCTCCACCTGCTCCCTGGCTAATTGGAAGCAGACCCAGCCACCATCTCCTTTCCTCTGTAAATAACGTGATACATAGCTTCGAACAAGACCAGCTATTTCTGTAAAGGGCCAGAGAGTGAATATTTTAGGCTTCTCAGGCTACATATATAGTCTCCATTGCATATTTTTGCTTTATATTTTAAATTTAAATTTTCTTTAATAAAGCATTCTTACATTGAGGGCCTTCCAAAAAGCAAGGCCAGGGCTGGATTTGGCCTGCAGGGTGTAGTTGGCTGC